CCCCCCCCCCCCCCCCCCCCCCCCCCCCGCCCTAAAGTTGCAAAATTTCCCAGAGTGCCACTTGCACTCCGGCATCTGTAGACTTGTAATATAGCTTGTTTTTTTGTAGAATTTAACAATTTTTCATCTCCAGATTTCTCGTGTCCAGAACTTTTAAGAGCGTATTAAATGATTTAATTCTGCTAAACAGTCACATAGATAAAGTGGAAATAAGATTTGACAAGAACATAAGAAAACGCATCTTGTGTAGGATTTTTTACTGAACAGCATATCAAGGTTTGGTGACGGCAGTTGTTTCGGCATGAAGAGCTACGAGCCGTAAAACTGAAAAGAGCTTACTTTTAGTCTAATCCCATACATTTTACAGTGGCGAAACCGACCGGGTTGCAAAAGTTGTATTTTACTTTAATAAATATTAACAAATCGTTATTCTGCACATAAGAACCGGGCTTGATTCTAAGGCTTTCTGCTTCTTGTTTTTTATTCTATTAGGATTACACACTAGTATACAGTTTGGAGTTATGAAGAAGTCTAAAAACTTACTGTTTCACCTGGTCAACTTGGCCTTTCTACGGTCTATCCTAGAAGATCCTAGCTAACCAAGTGAAACAGTAGGTTTTCAAAGCTCACTTTAGACATTCTATGTTTCTGGAGAATTAAATCACATCATTTCAAAGAAGGGACAACAAGACGATCTTGTGTAACCAAAACTTCAACGAGTACAGGATGAAGACAATTCTAAGAGCTCAGAAACCAAGATATACAAGAAGCAGAAAGCGCTGGAGTGAGGGCTACCTCTGGAAACTCTGCAGAATAGTAATTGGTCAATATTATCAAAGTATGACTTTTGTGGAAATTTTTGAATGTTCAAAGCGTACGCGGTTTTTGTAGCTGTCGTTGGCCTTCAGAAGCTGCTCGGAACGGTTTCGTCACTGTAAAATATATGGGGTTACTCCAAAAATAGTGAATTTTTTTGGTTTTACATCCGATTTCGGCTTGTAACTCTTGATACCAAAAATTGCCATTTCCTAATTCTGACGTGTTGTGAAGCAAAAAATTCTGCACAAGATGTGTTTTTTTTTTTACATTTAAAGATTCGTTTTTTCAATGTTCTTTTGAAATCTTATTTTTATTGTATTCATGTAAATTTTTAGCACAATCAAATTGTTACATATATTTTTGAAAGTTCAGGAAATGAAAAATCTGGAAGATAAAAAATCATTGAATTGTTTTAGAATTAAGCTAAATTACAATTCTGCAAAATTAGGCATTTCAAGCGACAACTTAGCAAATATTGTGACATTGCGGGAGTGTAACTTGGCAGGGAATTCACTTTTCCAGGTATTTTTTCGGTTTCCTTTATACTGGCCCAGATTCTACTAACCAGCAGAATCCAAAAAAATATCTGGGATATGAAGGGAGAAATTTGTGCCATTTGGCATGGAATGGCCTATGTATATACGGGTCATTCGATGCCAAGTGGCACACGATATTATTCCTTTCGTATACCAGAATTTGTTTAAATTTTCTTGTGGTCCGTATGCAGAATACTGAAGGTAGAATTTGAAAAGTAAGTTCTCCGCTAAGTTACACACCGTCAAAGTTGGGAAATTTAACAGGCTGCCGCTTGACATGCCTATCTTTGCAGAGTTGTAAACTGGCCTGTCTTTGACTGAATTCAGCAATTTTTGCTTTATCAAATTTGTTATGTACTCTGCTTTTGAACACATTAAATAATTTATTTATATCAAAAAATTTTATAGATATGGTAAAAACATTTGAGACAAGCATAAAAAAATGTATCTTTAAATTCTTCAGAAAATAAATATGCTTTGTAAAATTTTTTGCTCTGAAAAATGTCGAAATTTAATGATGGCATCTTTCTCGTATGGAAGGTAACAAGCTGGAAAGCAATGTGAAACTGGAAAAAACCGCTGTTTTTACAGTAATACCACGTGTATTGAGACGATGAAAACGTTTTAAGCAGCCTCTGAAATTGGCTGTGGAAGCCCGGAATGCTTTGAATGTTGAAAATTTGTTTAAAAGTTGCATTTTACACTTTAAGGTTTTAACAAACTATTATTCTGCAAGTTTTTGAGGAGTGGTCTTTATTCCAATGTTTTCTGGTTATTTATCCTCTATATGTTTTGGTTTGTTAGGGGGTCAATAATACACATTTACCTCACAAAAAGGAGGGACTGGTGATGCTTGACGTGGCACACATTTTGCAGAACAGCGGGTTTCATGGGCAAAGAATGAGTGGACGAAGCAAATTCTTACTTCGTCGTTTTAGCTGTCAGCGAAGAAAAGGACTTCTGAGCTCACAGAATTGTGTTCTTAGTGGACTCGTTAAAGTTCTCGTTGCATGAACGAACACGAGCTCGACTTACCGTTCTTTTTTTTCAAATTATATGCTGTAGTTCTCCAGGCCAGTTGAACAAAAAAAACTTTATAAAACTCCTTAATCCAAAAGCTAACTAGGTAAAGCAGTTGGTCTTTAGACTTATTAGTGACGTCAAAACATATTCCAGCTGCAAAATTTTGACAGAGAAAGGCACAAGAGGCAGAAAACGCCGGAATGAAGGCTACCCCTTACAGCTTTGCAGAATAATAATTTATTAGTATTTTAAACTGAAGTGCAACTTTCGTAACAGATTTTCAACGTTTAAAAAGTACCAGATTTTTATAACTACCTTCTATGGCTTTCAGAAGCGGTTCAAGATAGTTTCGCCACCTTAAAATGCATGGGACTGCTGTGTAAAAAGTAGGAGATTCTTTCAGTTTCACACTCCTTTCGCAGCTAAAACTGTTAATATCAAAAAAGTGCCGGCACCAAATTTCGATACTTTGTAGTGCAGAAAATTTTCCATAACCGTATATTCTCCTAAAAATTTGAAAAGTACATTATTTTTTTAAACATTTGTTTGGAATCTCTTTTTTACTGTATCTAAAGAACCTACCAGCAGTATTAAATTATTTAATACGCGTTTCAAAGCACAGCCTATGGCGAACCAAAAATCATCGAATTCTGTTGGAGAATGGTTGAATTATAAGCTTTTGAAGAAAAGCGTGCAAAGCAGGAAAACCGCAAATTTTACAACTTTGAGGAAGTGTAACTTGACGGGAATTCACTTTTCCAGGTTCTCTCTCTGACTTTCTGTAGGCTGACCTAGACTCTACTAGAAGTACTACTTAAAAAAACATTATGAAATATCAATTGAAAAAAATGTGCCAGTTAGCCTAGAGTGGCTCGTATCTACATAAGAACGCTTGTTTCTAATCCGTTGCAAAAATGTTCTACGCGGCGGGCGGAGTGCTAGTGCTGGCTGCCAGCCCATAAAACTGTTGGCTTAATTTCAAACTAGGTTTTTCTACCTGGCTTGTTCTACGAGCTTTGCGGCCATTTAGGCGTCATTATATTTGTCACATTTGTAGCTACACAGTCATTGTTAAAGTTTATTGGATTTAGATGCCCTCGCCGAGTTATATGGTGGAATGTTATTTAGGAACTGATTTTTCTTTTTCATTTTTGAAGCTTGTGTTTATTTTTATTTCAGAGTCCAAAAGTGTGTATTCTAGGTCAATGAAGTAATCTTGAATGATCGGATCCGTTTTTTTTCAGAAATCTGACATTTTTACAGAGATAGAAGTTTTGACTGCGTATTAACATTGTTTCTTCGGCATAACATGCAGACTTTATTTCCACTACCGCACTCCCAGTTCTTACTAATAAAATGTCATTTAGAAATATCAGACTATCTACAAATGAAAAATAATTTACAAGCATGTTACAGCAATCTTTCACCTTGATCCTTTGCCGCAGATGCATTCTTTCCTCTGTCACCAAAAAAATCCCACCTAATTTCCGCAGAGTTCCGATTTTGAGAAACCTGACGTCACGTTTATACATCATTTATTCGATCTGGAATCATTCTCCAGCTAGTTTGATGAAAGATTCCTGAGGACTTTCTTTGTTGTTCCATAAACGAGTAATTGCCACTTTTCATTTTCGTTTTGTACACCATTGGGATGTAGTTCACTTGAAGCATAAGGTCTCGTAACTTTTCGACCCTTACGTTTAGGTACGCTTTTTTCGCAATTTCGTAATTTAGCCGGCCGCAGAAGAGTTTTATAGAGAAAACTAGCAGTCAAAAGAGGTAATCGATGAATTTCAGACCCTCTTTCCTGCGCAAGCTCGTCTACGAAATACGCTAGGTGCGAGCGGTTTCAAACCAAAAGCAGCCAACCCATGTTTTCAGTAGTTACAGGCCTCCGCCATACTAGACCACCACTTGTCTTAGCCTGTCCAACAGTTTCTTCCTACTCGTTATTCTCTCAATTCGTAAAATTGATAGCTGCACACTTTACTTCCTTATTTCTGCTTTTCATTCCTTCACTTTCTTACCCATTCGTGTCGTTTGCTATTAGGGAAGAGTCGGGATCGTTTGACAGACCGCTGTCCAAGTCGCAGTCGTCTGGTACGACGCCCTGACACAGCTCGCCATCTCTAGTCCTCTCATCTTCCTCATCACTTTCGCCTGTTTCGGCCCAATTAACATCTTTCTTTTTCCTAATGTCACAGCACTCTTCCGGTGAAAGAAGCTACACAGCATCTATTATTTCCTCATCACTGTCTTCCTCGGTTTCCTTGCTGTATGGGTAACTCTGTTTTCTCGACTGTCACTTCGTGACCGCTCTTCTGTTTCATATTACTTTTTCTTCAATGTGTTTTTTGAAAACTGGTTGCTTAAACTGCGATAACAAAACAAAACAATAAACAGTCGCAAGCATTCAGTAAATTTATTGTAACAATTATTTACTGGAGAATGAGTTAAAAAATAATGGTACTTTCTTACGTTTGCCTGAATTCAAGCAGAAAAAAGCCCGTCCAAGCAAAGATGTAAGAAGTTCGATGCAGGACATATTTCGGCTTTTACTTCCGGTTGTTCCTTTACTTCTCATGCATTCTTCTAGTAATATTTATTGGATTTTTATTCTTTGGCAAGAAAATGTATTCTTTTTTTTTTTCTCAACTTAAGACCGTATTACTTAGTTGTGGAGCTGGTCATCCTTCACTTTTTTTTATTGCATTTTTTAAACTGCTTTGCATGTGTATTGCACTAACGAAGAAAGCAACTACGTTTTGGAGCATCTCATAAAATTACTGCAATAATTAGGTCAAAAGTTATTTCGAAAAATGGGGATGTTTTGAGATTTCCGCCAGAATTTCAACGGAAAAAAGGCTTAGAAGTGAGAATTTGGAAGAACAAAGAGATAAAACAGTGATAAACATTATACGGTAGATAAGACACCATTTACACATGTAACGCAAAAGTTCAGCATACCTTTAAATAGTTCATGTAAAATTTAGATAGAATAGTGGCAGTATGCCAAAGGTGTTAGATTTCCTCGTCTCCAAAAAAAACATTTTCGTTCTTCGAAATTCTAACATTAAATTAAAACTGGACGGACCTACAAACACTCTTATTGAACTATGCTTCACGAAGGTTCACTACTATGTTAGTGCACAAATTTTTTTTGGAACGAAAATGTTTGCTCTGTCCCGCGTCCGCACCGTTGGCTTGCCGCCAGTGTTCAGTTCAAATCCAGCGCTAGCAAAGGTGATAAAAAGAATGTTAAATTTATTTGATACATCTGTACAGATAAGACATATTTCTAGTGCCACGCTGTTTAGCAGTATTTTCTCCAGTTGTCAGTTCATATTTCAGCTAGAGTTCCATCTTTCGCTGAGGTTATGAGGGGGACATAAAAAAGTCTTCACTTTTTATGCTTTTTCACCTGATTACTATAATAAGCTTGCCGAACGTTGCGAGTCGTTGGCAGCTGTTTGCTGCTCTAGTTCATGTAGCAAATAATGCCTGAGAGTACCATAGCATTTTTTAGATGCTGAGCCCTGCTAAAGAATAGGGCGAAAAAATGAGCTAAATGAGTAAAAAATTAACTCTGCATTTGTCTATATAGAAAATCTGCACGATAGCTGTTCATCCTGCGGAATATGTTTACAGGTATGGAAAAGACATTTGTCACAACTCAAAAGTGAAAAAGTTAGGCGTGCAGTGTGCAGAATAGAGCTATTTTTGTAAAAAAAAAAAAAAGTAAGGAGAATGGTAACAAACGAAATCGTCCAGTAAAACACATTCCAGTATCTCAAAAATCGCAGTACCGTTTACTGAAATTTAGCTCCGCCAGCCACAACTGTTGCAAACGACAGGGCGCCAAAATAGCTGAAGACTTATTATGGTCAACCAGCGAGAAATGCTGTAGCTTGAATTTCAACATTTTTGTGGGCTGTCAGCCAACAAGATTACCGTGTCTTCTCAAACCTTGTAAGGGAAATCCTCATTAGATCAAAAATAAACTCTGCGGTGCAGACGTCTATATAGGCATTCCCAGGTCCAAATTACTTCTGCAATTCACTGTGGCGAAAAGCGCTTTGAATGTATGGATTTCGACATCTCCCTGCTTCACGTGTTACTTTTCAAGACAAAGTT